GACTTTAGCGTTCACTTTTCGGTTTCGGCTCACCTTCGAAGCACAATTCGGTCGATTGTATTCTTCGACTTCTTTGTATAGACGCCAAACAAAAACTAATCGTACGATATGTGTTAAACTTTGACAGAATGCGTATAATAGTGTTGCCAGCGCGAAAATAAAAAAAATTTACTGATTGGAAAAGCGCGGGAATTCAATAATTAAAATTCTCGTTCTTTTTTGATCACAAGGTATTTTCTTGTAGAACAATTTGTCTTTGATTCAAACTCAGTAATCGCTGGGCCCAAAATTAGAAAGTGCTATTGTTTGCGCACCAATTTAAAGCGTAATCCATTCAATTTAATTATTGTGATTGCTTGAGACTTGTTGGTTTCGGTCCCTAGTGAGTAAACACTAGCAACTACTTCGAAAAGAATAAAGCTATCTAACACAATTTCACTTTAACTCTTTAAAGTGTATCTCTATCTCGATTACTGTTTCCCTGTTTTTTGGAATCATCTTCTAAATTTATATCTATTGGTTAGACAACACCCTGTTTTTTATTCATTATTTATTTTTTAATTGGAAAGCAAAAGAGTACAATTATTTTTTCTATTACACAAATTTATAAATAAAATAAAAATCCAAACTTACTGATATATATTACTCAAAAGTGTTTAATAGTAATAAAAAAGTAAATATAACTCACAACTCAAAGTTTTACGAATCTGCATTCGTTAATAGAGCATTTTGATTTTGTTGATGTTAAAAATTAGCACGTTTAACTCTTTAAAAGTTAAACGAGCACAATTTAAAATTAACACAAACAATTGTGAACATGAAAGATTATTCAAAAGAGTTGAAAATGAAACGTGTAAGTTAAAAATATTAAATTATTTCGCCTTCTAAAAACAGATGAATTTAATGCATAATTATAAGTAAATAGTGTATTTCAGTACTTATATACAGAATATATATATATATATATTTTAGATAAAAGAATAAATCAACCTATTTTGTGTAGGTTATAATAGGCGTTAGTGCTTTGATCTGATTTCACAGTTTGTTTCCAATGTACGCACGATTTAAGTTAAGCTCGTCTTGAATAAAATTACAATCTTGTATCTTAAGAGCCAACAGTCAGTATTCACAATTTATCACATGCTCTTTGTAATTACGGTAAAAATTATAATAAACAAATAAAAATATTAATATTTAAGTTTGCAAAAAATTTTACACCTCTAACTATGTACTTGCATTTACATATTTACACCTTCGCGCATTATTCATATATGTATCTTTTTTTGAAATTTCGGTGTGAATTTCATTGAATCTGAACTTTAGTAATGACTCTTTCACGGAATTGGGCTTTTGAGTTTAAAATATTGAACAGGTCAGTGAGTTTTAAGATATCATTTATAATGTAATATGCGATAATGATTTGTGTTTATTGCGAAACTAAAAAGATTTTGTAAATATTATTTAAAAATATATCTCAACAGATCTTAGACATTAAAAATTATTGTTTGAATAATATGCCGCTTAATAGTCAATATAAATTCCCTCAATTCTAATAGCATCATTCAAACGTCTTTCTAATATTTCTACATTTTTTAATAAAAAAATTATATTATGTTGAGGCTAGTTGAGTCAGTGCACTTGAGCACTTTTACTCTCTATTAACTGCGAGGTTTCTTTAAAACCCCTCTTTGCGCCTTGACTGGATTATTGTTTATCACTTCATCAGATTAAGCAATAATTGACCTCAGATCTGCATACCTCTCCGAGGAGCCTGTACCCATTCTGAGATTTGATAACGCGGTGTTGGTAAGCCTGTTAGTTTTTGTAAATAATTTTAATCCTTTATGTATTTTTTGATCGGATCAATTTTGAGGTCGCTGAGGATGTTATTCGTCCTAAAGTACCATGGTACCTTAAAAAGTCTTCTCAGAGCCTGGCTTTGTGCAATTTCTAGCTGGTGAATAGTAGTGTTTGAAGTACGTGTTATAGTAAACTATATAATTTTTTATAGTTCTGATTTTTACAAAAATCAGTTACTTGTCACTAAAAGTTATATATGGAGAAAACGATAGATGATAGAGTAATGCGAAGTCGAATTTATATAATTTGGTCATCATTATCATTAATTTATAACACAGTGTATTATCCCCAAAGGACTGACATTTTCTTTACTTCATTCTCCAATTTGCTATCGTATTTTTGTGATTGCACACTCCAAAAGTATCAATATGAATATATACAATTCGTAATTGATGCAAACGTTAAGTAATTGATGAAATTATATCATTTCCAATCTAACATACAAATGCTAGTACCTTTCCGATTGCTGCCACGTCTTTATTTGCTTGATTGTGGGATATATGTTATATGATTTATATAATTTTATTTAAAACTGAACAAAATCATAGTTATTAAAATGGCATATCTAAAACTTACAAGTAATCTATAATATGAGAACATATCACAACATGACGATTCTTAATTAGAGGACAAAATCACTCAATCAGAAGTCGTGGCAGGTGTACTAGTTACGTTAGGTTGGAATGGCGGCCTTGTGTACCAAGAAAGCCCACTTGAGTTAAAATAATGGCCTGTTGTGGTACCACAGGAATAGCGTTGGTTCATACATAGACAAGGTGATCAGTATACGATAAACGCCGAAAAAAGCAACGACTCCCGCATTGAGGTGAAGCAAAACCAACCCGACAATTCTATAAATCTGTTCAGGTCAGACATCCCTAACATTGTAGGATGACAGCTCAGTCAGATCGGTCAGAAAAGAATCCCCCAAGGGCAGGTGCTGTACTACAGTTTATAAATTTAGATAGTCGAAAGCAGTGGTCAAACATATAACAATTACTCAAACTAATATTTATGCGATAAACAGATGTCCCTCTTTTCTTCAAAGAAGAGAAAAAGATCGCGAAACCATACCTTGCACTGATACACATATCAAACAAGTACTTAATTGACCATCTAATATTAGCTGGATTAAGAAAAATCTAAAAAATAGGTTCGATACACTATTTATTAAGACAATTAGAATAAGAAAAACACTGTGAAACTATTAAGGAGGCACAATAGATCCATAATATTACAGTACAAGATCAGCTAATAAAATAATAATATTATTTTTAAAAGCCAAAAATTAAATAGACATAACTTATATAAATATTGTTGTATTAGTTGACTCAAATATTTTAAAAATTTAAATATCCTTCTAGGACTTTGGCGAGAAATATAAGTATAAACGTCAAAATTATTAATATGTAGAGTATATGATAAATCTCTTATTTTTATTCAAAAGGTTTATAAAAAAAGGTGTTTAAACTCATTTTTTATTATTAAAAACAGCATTTTTCGCATATTTATGAATACTTATTAATAAGTCATTATTAAGCATTTGTCATTTTTGGAATTTCTTAATTTGTTTTCTTAATATTCTTATTATATTATATTATATTTCCAGTTTTAACTTGATTTTAAAATAAATATAAAAAACAAGAAAGATTAGCTTTGGTTTTGTCGAAGCTTAGATACCCTTTACAGAGAATTTTGATTCAAAGTTTATATGATAATATATATAATATAATTTATAAAAATACTTATATGAACAGCAATAAATTTTATTTTTGTTTACGCTTATATTTCGTTAGCTATTAAAGTTGAAGAAGTTTTTAATCCGAATGTTTATTTCATTATATCATTAAATAAAAAATTACAAATTGTACCATTTCGGTATGAGGACTTAATTCATTTTTAATAGTACATAATCTTTGCATTTTATAAATGCCTAAGTTCCATATATAAGTGCGTATATATATTAGAAAATAAAAAAACTTTTTGAATAAAAATATATAGTATATCTGATTCGAGAGTTTATATGACTACTATATATCAAAATTGGAACCGATATATAAAACATTTTAGATATTCTCTGATCTAAACATATTGGTACATATTATACCAAAGTTTAGTTAAACATCTTCATTAAAAACGAAAAAAACTAATATCCCAGTATTTAGTTTATCTTGACAAACATCGCTTTATTATTACTATTTTTTATTTAAAGAATATAATAAGTAATTTTAATTTTTTAATTAATATTAAATTTATAATTTTATTGATATTTCAAATAGATTTTTTTTTGATAATTTATTACTATTTATTTTAAAACTGGCAGATTTCCAAATTTGGTTATATTGAGTTTTGGTTTTATTAATAAATTTTAATTAAATTTATTTAATTATGTATCATTTAATTTTCAATATTTTTAATTTAAATTCAAATAATTAGTTAACAGAAATTATAATTATCTTCACCTATGCAGTATTATTGTTTTTCATAGAGTTCCCTATTTCTCTCACAGAAATTTCTCTTTAAAGTTTTACTTTCAGAATTTGTTTAATTCATTAATTATAACAATTAAGTATTAGACAGTTTTATGTAGAAATATATAATCCTTTCTTCTTTAAAAATTTTCGATCCTACTAATAATTATAATTTTGTTTATAATTATTTTTAATTGTTTAAATCAAATCTTCGAAACCGATAATTTTTTCGTTCCAGATTAGTTATATATCGGTCCGATATATAGCAATATATCGATCCGATTCCGATTTTCACAACGGCAAAAATATTCGGATTTTTGGTTTTCAATTCAGTCCCGAGTGAAGATTTCTTATGTATTTGTATAACAAATTAGTTTTTTGTCATGATTAAAATTTTAATAATTTAATTAAAAAATTGTATTTAATTAAAAAATTAAACTAAAATTATTTAAAAAAGAAAACTGTTCCATCCACTAAAACTTTAACTTCTAAAGATAATGCGCGTAAATAAGTATGTTTCGAACTCTACGGTACAGAATCGAAATAAACCGATATATAATTTTCGATTTGATCCTCGTTTTCATTTCGGACAAAATATCGGTTTCCAGTTCCAGTTTGAAGCACTGTATTGAATTTACTCTTTCGCAATTTATTAAAAAAAATTCTTACCGTAAATTTCGATTCTTTCCTTTAGCTGTACAGCTCGTTTAAGTCTTTCTTCTCCATGTTCGATGTGATAATAGATGCTAGCACCAAACATTAAATATGATATGTAAAAGATCAGCAGCAAAATCCATCGTTTTGGCGACATTACTTGTTTTTGCCCTTCACAAGAGCGTTTGGATTCTAAATATTTTATTGAGAATATATATGGGCTAACCATTTTAATATATATATATATATAATATTTAGTTATTAGCACTTATTTATTTTCTTATTAAAATCGCTAGAATTTGTTTTGAATATATATAAAACAAAATTCTTTAAATTGTTAAACACCGTTCGATTAGGATCGCGTTCACTTTAACACCTGATACTTATTAAAGGTTTAATAACATTTTACTCAACATTTCCCCTGTTTGTATGGATTATTATGCAAAACATATTATGAGGATTATAAATTTCGAGTCACGCAGACTTAATATATACCCTACTTATGTTTTAATTAAAATAAGTATATTTAAAAAATAATTTTTCGAAATTTGAAATTATTTATATGAAACTCAATCCTTATGGATATATTTTCTATAATATATATATTTCTTAATTAATTAGAAAATTAATTATACAAATGTTATACAAACATTATGACTTTATACTTATCTACTTCTATATTATTAAAATGCAACTTTATTATAATGTTTATTTATGAAGATAAAATAAGTATTCTTTCAATATTCATTTTTTAAAATGAATTAACAATTGTTTCATTATTTGTTAAGTTTTATATAATTTATAATTATAATTTTGTGTTATATATAAAATTAATTATTATTTAATAAATTTATTTTTGTTTTATAAATTTTCAAATTAAAAAATTAATTTTGTTCTAATAATTAAATGCAGGAAATATTTGCACAACCACTGATGACGAATCTTTAACGAATTATTTTTTTGTAAATATTTGAAAACACTTATAAGTTATAACAGGATAGGCCCTACTCTGCGCAGACGAACCAGAATAGCGAACGAGTGAAATCCCACGGGTACTCAAAGAAGGTATAGACGTGCGCACACCTGGAGAAGACAAACGGATACAAAAGTGTTACGCATCCAGAAAAGTTGGAGAGAATTGAAGCTATTAGCTAATAACCGTTCTGAATGAAAATATTTTAAAGCCCGTCATAAGAACAATATTATTATTTATAAATTATTAAAGTTGAGAAAAAAAAAAATTAATTCATATTTGCATGAAGCTCTTATATGCGAATAACCATATATACTTTCTTTAGGGTGTATAATTAAAGAGTGATAAACTGTGTTACTCTTAATCTCAGCAATTTAAAGGCTATTTTAAAATTATTAACTTATCAATTATTGGAATAATCTGACTAAATAGTAACAGACCTATCCACGTTAAGATAAGATTTTTGCAAAAACCTTGCCTCTCAATTTCACAATTTTCTAATCTTTATTGTCTGAGAATTTAGATTCTTGAATGCATTGGTTTCCATTAAATATTATATCTGCGACAAATGGCGTGTAGATAAGAGCCATCGTAATTCATTGCCGACTACAACATAAAGTTCATTAATTACTTTATTGTTTTTTAAACACTTTGGAAGTGCTTTGATACTAAAAACAAAACTGAACGTTGAGTTGTGACGTTTTTTAAGAAACCTAAATGAATCATATAGTATGTTAGAGATAATTCAGATTAATTGGGTTATAAAAAAGTGTAAATCGATAATAAACCACTTAATATTCTCAAATTGTAGTAGGTCAATTATGTTGAAAATAAATTGTAATTTACGGATATAATTTATAATCAATCTTATCGATATAAGTTGTATAGTAAATTTTAAAAATAAACAACTTAATGTTGTTTTGGTTTATTCAAAAACAAAAATTCCATCTGTTGAGATTGTTTCTGATATATAAAATTGTTTATAGTAAATAAAATAATTAAAAATTATTATGTGTTATACATATTGAAATTTTTCAAATATTTTAGTAATATAATAACATGAATTGTTTGAAGTGTTTATTATATCAGTTTAAGACAATTACGTATATAAGACACGTATTTTATCTTTCGTTCCTTATTAGGGGGATTTACAAAATTATTGGAAATAGAACATTTGTCTATATATGAATTCTACATAATTTTTGATGAAAATTAGTCAATAAAAAAACATGTTCAATTAAATTAAAAAATAATCAAAAAAGTTCTAATAAATATATCTATTAAATATAAATATGTATCAAAGTGATATATATATATATATGTATACATGAAAAGATATTTTAGGTATAATTAAATAATAAGTGAATATACTTCAAAATATAATTTTATACAAAACTTTTAAGAATCCACTGTAATGTTGAATTATTTTTTAAATGATTGATATTTAGGTTACTTAGTAATGACTCTTTAAAATATTTATTAAAATAAAAGATTTATAATAATGTGAAAATAGTAAACATACTCATTATAGCGGTCTAATGTTATAAAGGAAGTAGACACTCAGTTCACGTATTGCGGTAGAATAAATAAAAAAAGGGAACTTTTGTGTAAAGTATTTTAAGCAGAAGTATTTGTAGTTATAAAAATCGCAAAAGTTTTTTGTTTGAAAAGAAAAACATCTAATTGTACAATGAACGTCTTTGTAGAGAGCTAAGCGACCATAAAACTAAATCTTTTCATACTGGGCACCTGCCAAAAATGATCAGTAGTACAAGTAGGCAATACATAATTTGAGCTAACATATAGACTCTGGCTCTGTGTATACTGTGTTTTTGACTACATACCATAGACATAGAGAAAACTAATATAGTTGAAAATATTTTAAAAATTGGCACTAACGTTGCAGAGGACGAAATAAGTAGGGGTCTATGAGATATATTAGATATGGTGTTTTTTTAGCTGCATGAGAACTATCGATATCGATAACTATTTTTTATAGCTGAGTATGCCAAACTGTGTCAACATTTCTGTTCAGATAGGTTTGGCAATTCATTATGAATCTTTTACCGCTAGAACAACGCTTTCAAATTGTGGAATTTTACTTTGAAAAAAACTAAGTCTGTTCGCGAAGTTCATATGGAAGAATTGTGTTCAGTGATAAAATTCATTTCTGGTTAAATGGCTACGTCAATATGCAAAATTGCAGTATATGGGCCCAAGATAGTCCTTAAGCCGTTAACGAATCACCATTACATCCATTAAAGTTGACTGTTTGGTGCGGTTTACACTCTAGCGGCAACATGGGTCTTATTTCTTTCGAAATAAGGAAGGAATTGCTGCCGAAGCCGAGGCGAAAAATAGGTAGCAGTCACTTAACACAAAGTTAGGATAAGGCTTTATGGTATATTTCCAACCAGTGATTTATCTATTATTAAAGTTTTTTTTTTGATTTTTCTCAGAAATCACGAAAGAGTTCTAGATTTTCTGTTCAAATTAATGTTTTAATATCTTTTAATGGTGTTACTCATCGGTGCAAACCTATAAAACTGATGATACAATGTCAACAGCAGTGGCCTTCAATAGAACTAAAAATTAAAATACAATTTGTGGGGTTAATTGTGGGACTAAAAAACATCCTTTTAAAAGGCATTATTTTTGTAGCGAAAGGGTTATTAAAAAAATCATTTCATATTTTGATATTAAAGGGTTAATAACAAGAGGTCTTATGTATTGATTACTGCAATTATGTTAACAAGACAGGTGATAGTGATTTGAATTAAGATAGCATATAGTGCAATTATATAAATATTAATTTATTCAAATACAATTTTTCATAATTTTATTGCAGTTCTCTAAATATATACATAACTCGATCCATAGACTATAGTATACGAAGCATACATTCGAGTTAAGAACATTTACTTTAACTCTTTATATACAATAAAGAGATCACAGCAATTGTTATAAATGCCAGCGATTAACAGATAAAATCGAATTTAATTCGGTAATTTTAGAAAAAAATAATTGAGTAATTTCTCCATATGGGACACCATTAGTACGTGGATCAAATGATTACATATGAGAGCATTCAGCTTTATAAACCTAAGATAATATTTCGTTTCTCATATCTTATCTCCGTCATCCTTAAGATGGAGAGACAGTTACATGTAGCAGTAAGCATGGTTATAGCCAAACACAAATCAACATAAAGCCATTTAAAGAACCATCTATAAGAAAATATTCGATGGTATAGAGTATATTTCTGTAGAATTGGTCGTGAAGTAATTATTTTTGTTTGCTTTGTTTTTCGCCGAAAGGATTGAATTATCAGGTCGTTACTATTTCTTTGGAATTCTTAATGAAAAATTAATTATTGTAAATAAAAAAAAATTGTGGTTACAGATTTATAGCGTCAAATAAAAAATTGTATTTGTAATTGTAATTGATATTATAGTCACAATCTAATAATATTATAACGTTGGATTATTAAGATTATATTTTATGTATGGGCTTATAAAACTGTTAAAACAGTTACGTATGTTTCACGTGATAATGTTAGTTTAAATTCTGAAAATCAAATATTTTGTCAATAAGTCAATATCAACAAATTGGAGGAAACCTTGTATTTAGTCATTGAAATTTTTAGACATATGGCACGATTCCAACTTTCCGGGCACACCTATTTAACAACGGATTTTAATAAAGATATAGTTTACCCATGTCAATATAGCATAGTTTTGAGAACTATACGATTTTAATATTAAAAATTTTTACATGAAATTACTAACAGCTTACAATTCGTTTATCTTGCTGTGTTTTTATCTTAGTGTTAGTGTTTAATTAATTTTTATTCTCTTATAGAGGTGATTATTCGGGTAATTACATTAGTAAATATAGATGATCATTTTTACAGATTATTATATTGTCAGAATAAATCGCTCTTTTATTATAACAAATTTTACAGTCAAGCATATCTGCAATACGTGATAGAACAATTAGTAATCTTTAACTAATTTAGCTCTGCATTCAGGGCTCAGAGATTCGAAGAGCTTGAGGGCTTTATCCCCAATACATTTTTTTATATTTTTAACTGGGCTTTTGTAATGTAAACGTTATGTAGGAGTATACATTATAAACTGATTACTCAATGTATATACTAATTGACGGTAGATAGCGCTTATGTTTAGTATTTATTAATGTAAATGCTATTAAAAGTTCA